CATCGAGGTTGTGTTGCTTTGCACATAGATTCTGTAAACTGTATATGCAAAGAGCTTCGTCAAAGACGAAAGTTCTAATTATTAAGGGATAGAAAATTAGAATTCGTACTTTTATTATGTTGGAAGAGAAATGACTGTACAGACAATCAAAATGTTTCTATTTCATGGTATTTTCAGGTTTAAAGGATTTCATAATTATCCCTTTTACAGAAAATATCTTAACTGCGAGTTACAACACACTACTATATTTGCATTAGCATTTAAGGTTATTATTATAAAACTTTGTTTGGCTTTGTCATCTTTCTATATCGTTCAAGTAACGACATAAAATAATAAAAATCAAAAGAAAACTGATAAAGAAGTGATTTATTTCCCATTAGCTTTTCGCCTATTTAATTTGACCAAATAATTTAGTGAGGATAGCAAGTAAATCTTGATATTGTGTGTTCTGTGATATTGAATGTGTAGTGTAAATTAATGAATGCATTTAATTCTTATGTGGATTTCGGTGCATTTTTTTGTCCACAATTCGATTTCTTTTATTTGGACGTTTGTGTCCTTTTATTTTTTTCTGGACAGAAAATGAGTTTCTTGTATATAAATGCTTTAAAGACGATCCGAAAAATGTTGACACCAAGTATCTGATGAACTATTACTATTCAGTTACCAGTGTTCCTAATAACTATTCTCATGATGTTAATATGTTACCTTGATCACAATTACTTGATCTGTTTTTCTTCGTATCCAAGGTTTTAACAATTATACCGGAAAATAATAAAAATTTACGAATTTTAAATCAAAGTATAGCAAAGAACAAACACTTCATGGGTTAATTAATTAGAAAGTAGCGGTAGCTTTGTAGTTAGTGCACAAAAATTTAACTAATATATTCCAGATTTGAAACCAGTTCCTGTAATACCGTGAACTTTTACTCATGTGAAATGTACTACTCAAAGCCAAATTCATTGATTTTTTGCATGACAATTGAATTATATTGAAGCTATTAAGTCAAGAGCTGTAAAGAATTCTGTAGCATTGGATGAATAAGAAATATTCATCCACAAGGTTGACCCATACCTTACACATTTGATTATTAAGTTGGAAATTTTCAGCTAACAGCTGATCACACAGGTAAGTCTCACAACTGCAACATTAATAATAGAACAAAACGATCATTATTCAAGTATATACCGGAAAAGCAAGGTGGGATTTTCTCTAAATTAGAATGTCTGTCGTATGCTAAATAAATATAGTCTGAAAATTTAATCTCAGTTTTGTAAATAAAATATATATACGTAGCACATCAATTTTATCGTTTCTTTGTAAAACGACTGTTTATTTACCTGTTGGTTAAGGAGGACATATAAAAAAGTAAATTGCCAATACATACAAAAAGCGAAAATTGTTTTCGTAGCAAAAATAAAATTGTCGAACGGTCAATTAGGACACTAATCTCTTTACCGAAGTCATATGAATATGAGTCACTAAATAATTTTGCTCCGTAAGCAGTAAAAGTGTATATTTAAATAAACATATACGACTTCGACATAATGTTGTCTAAAGATCAGTGTAAATCATTTACTTCTGAAATGCAATCATATTGTTACTACAGTATATCTTATCTTCAGAAGACACATTAAACTGTGAAATATCATGAGCAGAACACTTAAACAAATATGAAAAAAGATATGAATGTTAGAATCAGATTAGTCTGTAACTCAGTCGAATAATATTTCTAATCACTGTTGTTTATTTAGGATAAGTAAACAAAGCATGAGTTTATTACACTTATATTTTCCTTCTATCTGGTACGTGTTTTATTATCAGATTACATCTTAATTGTGTACAAATAGATAACTAAAAATGATTACCTTTTTTATTTAATATATTGATTTATTTCCCTAATTTCATCCGAAGTTAAAAGAAGATACACAGATTCAAGATCATGTAATAAAAGTATTGTATGGCGAATTTTACCACTATGTCATATCACGATCTAAATGGAATTTAGATTAGGTCAACTCAATAAAGTTCCACATAAGATAGTACTTGATAGAACTTCCTGTTAACAGTAAAAATCGATCTATAACGTATTTGCCGTCAATACAACCTTTAGGTGGTAAAAAATCTCTTTCAAAACGATGACATTTATTTAAAACAGTTTGCTAGATGAAATTTTACTTATTGGTGCTATAATCAGTACTAAAGTGACATAGATCTGTAATGATGTTTCTAATGGAATAGAGATTTCACTTATATTGTTTGTAAATGGACAGTTTTGCTCAAAATAGTCAAAGTTTATTAATCAGATCCACTTCATTGAATCACATTGGGTAGACTACACTATTATTTCTAAAATATTAATTTAATTCAAGCGAGCTAATTAATTGTATTCACGAAAAATAATTCGAAAAGTTAACGTAATTATGGTGATTCTGCTTATTTCAAATAATCCACAAACCTATATTTGAGAAGATTGTTGATCATTTGAATGTTTGAATAATATAGGATAGAAACGTTTCCAGTTTTGTTAAGCATTCGAACTTTAAAAGTAATAATGAAGCAAAAACCAGGTCTTAACATAGCGGTTACCTGTAAGCCACATAAACTGATGGAATATACCATTTGGTATAACAGTAATCTAGTAACTCCTTTTAGATAAAAATATTAGATCCACTACTCAAATGCAAACGACTCATATTTTATACAGTAAACCAATTGAAATTTATCTATATGGCAAAGTAAATTAGGCAGTGGCGATAAGTAACAACGGAAACTATAATTAATCCAAATCTACCATAAGTCATTTGGGCCAGTACATAATTCTATATTATTATAACTTATCTTCTTGGCAGTCCTAGTGTTTTATAAGGGAAAACTTAATGATGAATGTCGTTACTTGTACATCGAAAGTATGTGGATTCAAAAATGTTTTTGGGTCAAAGACACGAACAAATATGCTGAAATTCTTTGACATGGAGCCAAATTATATATTGAATATAGTACAATATTTTATTTGAATTTGATATTTTCTTTTACGTACATATGTTATATGATTTATAATATATTCACACTTTGTGAACTGAAATTCGTTGTTGCTTTTTGTTGATTTCGTTAAATTAATTTTGCGGTTATTCTCAAATGTCACCAAAATAGGCTTTTAACATTAGCGAGTTTTAGGTATATATTAACATTTGTTTACAGAGCATCAATGATCAGAAATCTAAAGTAATTTGACTCAGAATCGATCATTCTAACCCTAATCAATGCGCATTAACTTCCTTAAACTACTGACCAATTTATTATTCATTATTCATCTGTTACACTTGCTATTTATTTTGTTTTCCTTGTTCAGTATTAAAAAAAGCTCGAACACTCTAGTAGATGCCTATTCCAAACCAAATATAATTTTAAAGTAAAAATCGAGCAGTTGTGCCATTGAGAGACGAATAATTAAAGTGATATTAAAAAGTGATTGTTTGTTATCCTGTTTTTTATTTGGAACAAAGAGGTCCTCTGTATCGTAAAATCTTGTTGTCGAATGATGAATAGTTGCAAAGAAAAGCTGTTTTCCGATTCTTTCTGATATAATTTTAACAATTAAAAAGCGTCCATTAAAAATGATACAAAATAATTAGCCATTAAAATGTTCTCTCCATTTCAGTTCAAAAAGCAATTATCTAAAAATGAGAGCATAATCTGAATTCACATTAAGAATATATTTTTCTTGATAACATCTGGTCAGTTATGAGTAAACCAAAATTCATTAACTAGTCTATGAATTCTGAATGTATAAAATAGAATATTTATATTTTCTTTTTAAAACGTATTACACTTTGAATATAACTGGATTTATATATTACTTGCTACCATCATTAAATATAATACAAGTTTGGTTCGAGCTTAACATATTTTTCCAGTGAATAAATGTGCTGGTTTCAAGTATTTTCGATGAAATGTTTTTGCACAATATCATTAAAGTCATGTGGATTTTGAATTATACAATTCATCGAAAAGTAATTTTATTGGTTGTTTAGTGTGGAAATCACCGCAACCATGATTCGTAATTATAACAATGAATACAACTGAGATATAAATGTGTTAGTATAAGCGTATCTGACAGCTATGATGTAATACCAAGTAACTGAATTGGAATTTATTCGTATTAACAGGAAATATTCTGTCCCCTCTTGCATTTCAAAAAAGAAGTCAATACATATACTTTGGTTCCTTATCCTTTTCTTATGATTTCCTTCACAGTTTTTCTAGTAACACTGATGTTCTCGATTGTATGACATTCGAAATCTTATACATTTTTACCCATGTATCTTTAAACATGACCCTACAATTGTGAAGTTTACCTGTCATATAAGTTTAATTACCGATGATGTCGTATGATTTTTTTTACAAAAAGTATTATTTTCTTTGGTCAGCTTAATAATAAATAAAACACTGAATCTAGAATATGATGTAATATTTTATGGTAAATGACTTTCGAAATTGGATACTTGGAATCAGACTGTCGAAGTGTTACAGACACGCAACTTTGACCTTGTTAGAATATAGTTTAAATACATCGAAATAACTTAGTTTTTCAAGAAATTTGTAATATCCAACAAAAAGAGACTATTCTACCATTGAAGAATAGAGAAGTACTATACTTGAAAATCTAACTTTAGGTAAAGTTAAGGAATTATTTAGTGAGAGTTTTCAAGGTGACCATTATCACTTTTAATACTTTGTAAGTTACTCCACTACCTCATATACACGCGTGGGTTCAGAATAGTAAAGAAAAAATGAATGAAATAGTTATATTCAATGAGCTTACAGATCATCCAAAATTTCGATATTTATTTCATGAGTCAAAATGTTAGGCTGCTACTTTCAGGGTAGCAAGTAATGTTGATCAAAATATGTGTAGCAAGATACACTGTGTACTGGCAGTGATCATAATGACGATAATGGTATCTCACTGATACCAGAAGTCAAAAAGTTTTCCCATGTTGAAGTTTGGTATCCAGGTTACTGACTATTACAGTTAGTACAGACTACATTGCACTTCTCTAATGCAGATAAATTTGATTCGCAAAAATGACATAGGTGAACTTGCTAGAACTTATTGATTATAAATATTTGTTTTAAAAAAAATAAACTCCCACTATTTGTATATCATTTTCGTCATATTATGAAAGTATTTAATAATTGGTGACTGAGGATAAAATAAAAAGGAACTGTTTTGCCTTCTTTTCTTGCAGGTATTAGTAATACAAGTCCAGATACTTATAGTCTTTCAGAGCCTGGCATAGTTGTTTCAACTCCACAATATCCATTAGATAACATTATTAGTTATAATCAGCAACAACGAAAACCACAGAAAATCAATGTTTCTTCACAAACCGTTCAAAACAATTCTTCGTGCTATATTGATATCCTTAAAGATGATAATAATCAATCAAAATATAAAGTTGGTTCTTACACAATACTTAATGAGCATTTATTCACAACCAAAGATAACATTCGCAAGAATGTATACATGCCAAGCATTTCTACTAATCACAATATAATTAAATTATGTTATGACAAAAATATTCATAAAATGTGGCAGAAGTATGAAAATCAGCTGTATAAATTTAGTGAAGTTACATCATCATTCTCCTTGTCAACGTCACCATCATCACTAACATCTTCACCATCCGTAACTTTATCCTCATCACCAACATCATCGTCATCTTCGTCAACAATTAATTCATTAAAAAATGAGCTTTATACTGTTACAATGAACAGAACATTTAAAAATGACTCATCTGATTATGATGATAGTGAAGGTGATCAACAAGATGAAGTCCATCAAGAAAGAACTCAAAATAAACACTCCACCGTTGTCATTCGTCGTTTGGTCAGTAAAAATAAATATCGTAATAAAAAGGATTTAACAAATGACAGTGATAGTGTATTTTATCAGTCTCAACGCAAGTAAGTTATTCTAGTATGTTTTGATATTATCTCACCTAGAAAGATTATTAATTAAGAGATTTTATACATCAAATCTAAAAACAAGACTAATTTTCTAATATTTATGAGAAACAATTGATTTTGCTGTTTGTTAGATATACTACATTTAACGGTTTTAAATACGATTTTAAAACTTTTGATGTATACTGTACTGTCTTTATATGTCAAATGCTTGGTCATCTAAGATCTTAAATAGAAAATCTTACACCGCTTTTAATTTGACATCAGAAAAATGTCTATGTATAAGATATAACTTGTTTGAGATAAAGCTAATGATTCCTCAAAGCATCTCATTAAAGCAGGATAACAAGTGCTATTTAAACAGATAAAATAAAGTTTTACTTGAACTCACAGAACCCATACTGGCTGAGGTCTTTACGCTGAATTCTAAATCTCCTAGTTCATCGCTATTAAAGAGAATTTTGTGGAGAAAAGTATTTTTATTAATTTTTATTTTCATTTGATTTCACATTTATTTTCGAAGTGATTATAAACACTTGTAGTTTATTGGAAATGGTTTAATGTTATGCACTTTCTGAATTGAGCGTTTGAGAACTATTTTATAAAACCACTAAAGCAATCAGGGTATTCGTTAAGAGTAATGATAATATTTTATAAACAAACGAGCAATCTGATAAACGAAAACTAATATTGTGGGTGGGCTATTTGCATTGTGATCTTAGCGGAACGATACTCCCTTTCCTTTTCATGATTTAACAACCCATACTATTCTTCAGTAATTTTTCTTAACATTGTAGTTAACTGCTTAAAGTATTCCCATTAAGCTCTTTGATCGTGATTGATAAGCACGTCGAGAATCGGAAAGCTGATTAATCTGCACTATGTTTGTTGTTGTCAAGATGTGTTTAAAAAAGCAATTATGAAAATAAAGAGTAGCGAGTTTAAAATATAATGCATTTCTTCCTTTTAAAAAATAAATACGCTATAAGAGTAGCAAAAGCGTTGATAAAACTTTGGCGTATTGTTCATAATACGTTTCTTAACCAAGGGAGTTTACATCCAGAAACAAGCTAACAATGTTCTGTTAAAAACCGCGAATTCATTTATTTTAACTGAAGATGGATATATATATTTGAGGAAATACACTATGATGGAATGCAGCTTTAAACTCTAAGTCAGTACTTAGACAGGTAACATCCACCTAACAAAAGAGCAGATGTTTTCATGTAATGCGTTTTATTTCAATCTTAGAATGAAACGTACCCGGTAAAATGAGTAAAAAGAGGTAGAAAAATATTTTTTCCGATTAATAGTTAGAGAATAGCCGATAATTTGAAAGTACTGAAAAATGTGACCGAATAACTGTGTAAACTACAAGTAACCAAAACGATAAGTACCACATTTGCACAAACAGTTTCTTTAAAGTAAAGAAATAGAAAAGTTATTCATTGACTAAAACGAATAGACATTAGATCATAGTATCGAAAATGTCAAACATTTTGTCCATTTAGTGGATTTGAATAACTCGGTCATTTTCATGATGTCTGATTTATTCCTGTCATTTAATCTTTTTTAATCATTTGATTACAATTTATTTTTAAGTGTTCATTAGGTAGTGTAGCTGTATGATAGCCTCATCACAAAAAAGTGTGATAATTTCGATAGGCTATAAAAGGGATTATTAAAATAATTTCATTCAAATTTATAAAAATCGATGTGGTCTTCATTTAACTAAACTGCGTCAAACATATTTAACATTTAAATTCACTTGGTATTGTTTACTTGAATTTTTTCATTGATGATTAGGAATGCAATTGATCAGTCTCTTATCGGCATATGTACATACTGTGTGTATTGCCTCGATATTGCTTGATTCATAAGCATTATTTGAAAAGTAAAGTTTATTTTCTGTAAATTGCGATGTTATCAAAGTAATACACGTATCATCACTAATAGTGGATTTTTGCAGTTAGTCACAGAAGATAGACTTCAAAGTTTTCTTACATAACCTGCCAGTAAAATACTAAGATGTAAAGTTAAATGAAAACAGTTCTGATTAGTTTGTGGATTAATCTGAGTGTTATTACCTATAAAGTGCAAGGTAAAAGCAGGAGTATTGAAACGACCAGTTTGCCACCAAAATATATCATGTGATCGTCACATTTGAAAATGTACCGTAAAATAGCAAGTCAGTGTATCATTCGTCTGGTAATTGGTTTGGATCATTCCATTGTCGTATTAAGTGATAGGTGATCCCTCCCCGTGTAGAAAAGAAAGATATTTATGAGGAATGAAGTTATATTATGTATTATCATTGAATCTCGTAAAATATACAGCGAAGAAAGTGTCGCCTACGTTTTATACTACGAACAAACGTCTGCATAAACAAACTACACTGATAAGATGTAATCTAGTCATATTATTAATAAGCGCTTAAATTCCTTTCTGTTTTACCGTATTTTTCTGCTGAATACTTCTCTTGTTAAGTAGTAATTGTGCATTTTTAGCTTTGCGTAAAATAGATAATTTTACAATAATTAAAGTAATACTTATTTTTTTATGATGTAGTAAGTAAATAAAATGTTAGCATGAAATAAAAAAATCTGAATATTTCTAAAATGAGACGAGGATAATTTATTATCTGATAATAGTCTAGTATTTAACTCATAGTTTACATAAGATAAACTGCATATAATTCTTAATAAGATTTTATAGCTGATTTATAATTTTCAGTTGTTATTTTGTTTATATATGGACAAGTTTAATTGTACGCTGAACCAGTGTTACACAGATATATATATAATGCTATGTTGGGAAATAATACCTCACATGCCATTACTATTCAATGGAATGATTTGATTCTCTTCTGTAGCTGAACGAAATAAGTAAAAGCAAGAGAGTGGTTATGATTAATTCAAACCAAGGAATCCGAAACAAAGATGAAAGCGATTTTCAAGAACAAACTAGTAAACATATTAGCTCTGAGAAGTTTTTTCAAGTTATCATGAGATGGCATTATTTAATCGAAATGAAGAAGACAATATACTTTCAGTAAACGTACAAAAAGAAAATTTTTTTTGAATACTTTGTTTTCGTAATCAAATGTCTCACTATTATAATTATAACTTATATCTATTATCGTCTGCTTGTTGATTGTATGCATTTTTAAGAGTATATCAAATTTCATATCCATCTCTACCTGAAATACGTTTTTTGTTTCTATGAAACTTAAATTTGTATACTTCACGTTTTCTGTCATTAGTTTGAGAGATTCTGCATTAACCAGTTGCGTGTCAAGCAGGTGAAAGACAGCAATAATTTGAATGATATTATAATTATTTTGACTGGGTTTTGTAAGTTTGACATTTAAAATTAATTTCTGTTTCTTCATTGTCTGTCACTCTTGGTGATTATTTTTAAGGCATTATAAATCTCAAGGCTGATGGATTTATAATTAAGATTGGATACTTTGTTATGCACTAGAAACAAGACACAAGTTATTCGGTGTTAATCCAACCACTTGAGTGTTGCTATTAAACTAACTTTCTTTTCAATCTCGACATTTATAGGTTCACAAACAAAACAAGGATAATAATCACTAAATCGGACATCTAACACTTGAGTTATTGACACTCGATTTGGAAAAATCAGACATTAGTCGAATAATTTCACTAATTGTAAATGCCCTACTCATTCAGAAACGATTAACCGTCTGTCATATGTGGAGGTGGTTTATTTAGATCGCTTTCGAGGAACAGTAAAAGTAAATGCTTTTAATTTATAAACCTACAATTGACGTAGATATACAATAATAATGTTAAGAACTAAGATTTAAGCAGCTACATATTAATTTTGTCAGAACTCATTTCAAGAGATATTTAGTACAGTATTGTAAATATTTTTGGAAAATATTAAATAACACTTAAAAATTCGTTATCGGAATACCGTCATTTTGTCTGTCAGCACATGTATAAAAATTCAGTGTTTAAAAAAATTAGTGACTTTATAATAACTAGTAATTAATAAACATTAAAAACATCCATTGACCTCAGTGATAAAAATCACCCAAACATTTGTAAACACATTTTTGGTGAAGTGTGTGGCAAAACTGTACTTTCTGCCATATTAAAAGTCTCTTGAGAAACTAATATTGTTTGCTAATCTAAAACCTTATTATTACCATTCAAGTTTTAGTGATTTCAATACTTTTAAAAACCAAGTTTATGTTATTTTATTTGTTTGATAGAAAATGTAAATAAATGAAAATAAAACACACTTTCTTGAATTTTTATCTCTTATGATTTGTAATTGGTTAATAAGTTCAAAGGAGAAGTAGAATTGGAATATAGGCATGCTTATAATGATAAGTCATGTCGGTAAATATACCGTTTATAAAAGTAAAAATGTGAAAACGTTTTTGAGAATTGAATGGTTAAGTATCTATTTAGATGTATTATTCTTACGTAATTCTGTATCCAAATCTAGGTTTTTTTGTCTGAATTTCTCAAATTAATCCCTTTTAAATATTGTACAGTTTAGTTAATTAAAGACAAACATTAAAAAGTTAGTTGCTTTTAAATGTAGTTATTAATCAATATAAATTTTAACGGTTCTTTTTAATCTCATTATCGGAGTAACAAAAATAAAATCAATTGAGTTGTTCTGTTTTAAAAAAGTATAAACGTTTTAAGTTTTATATTATTCGTTGTTCAAGCGTCATAGTATATCTGAACACTAAATATCATAACCTCATTTTGTGAATCAGATTGTCGGCCAAGCCATGATTTATTCGATTTTTATAGGGAAAAACATTTAAACAATAAAATGAATGTTTTCAGAAAGCTACCTAGCTTTCGTTACATCAAAACTTTAAAATTAAATAAAACTAAATATTTAATGGTCACGGCTAAATGTGAGCAAGTATGTATGCATTTGTTTAGTAATAAAACTTTAATTGGGTAGAAAATTGTTAGACAGAGACTTCCAAAGTATTAGCTTCC